CGGTACCGGCTCCTGTGGGCCGGCCGGGTTCCCCCGCGTCCCTTCCGCGCCTAGCGTGACGCAGTTCCTGCCCGCCCGGGGCGCCCCGGGCCCCGGCGGCGGCGGCGGCGGCGGGTGGGAGCGGGAGGGCGGGCGGCGCGCGCCTTAGCTCTCCCCTCAGTCCCCTCCTCTCCGCGGTTGCCTGAGGGGGAGCGGGGAGTCCCGCGGCGGCGGAGAGTCGCCCCGCAAGTGGGTCGGTGGGAAGGAGCCGGTGCGGTCCCGGGGAGTGCCGGTTCCCTCGGGTGCTGCCCGCTCCCGGGCTGGGGTGAGTCGGGTGCCGCGGCGGCCCGGCGGTTTCCCCGGCTCCTTGCCGGGAGCAGGTGTCCGTCCCCTCCCCGGCTAGAGCTGGAAGTGTCGGCAAGGCCACGTCCCCGCGTCGGGCTGGGTCGGCCCCGGGGGCCGCCTCGCTTTCTCGGCGCCTCCGTTCGCGGTCCGGAGTGGGAGCGGGCTTTTCTTTCGCAAAACCCCCCGTCGTGTTCTTTGGGCTCTGCCTGCCTGGCTGCGTGTCATCTGTCCCCAGCCCATGCGCGCGTTTCAATCCCAGGAAAGAAGGGGGAAGCTTGAAATAGTTTAGTTTTGTTTCGGGGCGTGCGTAATCTTCTGGTGGCGTTGTGTTTCCTGAGGGAAACTCTTGGAGAATAATTGTCGCTTTCCGTGCTGTACTTGTGGTCTCGAGTTAAAGATGTGATCGTGAGCCGAGAGATTTAAAGGTTGAATGTAACCGAAGGTGGGGCGCAAATTAAAATTGGAACACGCGTGACCCTTAAATAGGTGGAACAAGAATACGAATGGTTTTGTGAAGCTGAAACAGTAGCTTGCAATCTTTTTGCAATTTGCCTAGAGTTTCCTTCTCATCTAAAGATCAAGTATGGACCCTGAAACTGAGATACAGAGGGAAGTAAACGCTTACTACTGCAATGTAAGTATTCCTTACTGAAAATTTTAACTAATACAAAATAATTTTGGTGGAACACAGTTGGACTAAAAACAAGTGTGAATATTTTTTTTTTCCTCTTGAGCAAAATTGATAAATAGCACTGAACTTACTTTGCTGTCTTTGTCATGTTTGCCTTGAATGTGTGTCAGGAACCAACTTATTAAAATGAATAACTTTAATAATATCATCATACAATGGTTTGTGTTGGAAGGGACCTTACAGATCATCTAGTTCCAACCCCCCTGCCATGGGCAGGGACACCTTCCACT